AAAAAAAAAAAAAGCAATGTCTCTTCAAAAATAATCCAAATAGGCATAGGTAAGAATTACACCCCGAGTCCTGGAGGATTATCATCCACGTCATGGACAGCTTGTAGAAGTACACGTTTCCTAACAATATGTTGTCAGGTCATTTGTACTTGCGAAGCTTTTCCAAGTCAGGGAATACAGACCAAGCATTTTCTCGTTCCCTTGTTTTCTGATTAATTTCCGCCTTGGCCTCCAGAAGAGTCATTCGCTATCTGTAGATGCTGATGTCTCTCTGGCTTCATTTCTCAAGCCCCCTTTCTTTACTTTTTTTTTTTTTTTTTTTTTTTTTCCGGTACTGGGAATCGAACTCACGACCTTGCGCTTGTCAGGCCCGCGCTGTGCTGCTGAGCTAAATCCCCAGCCCTGAAGCCTCTTTTCTTCTCATCTATCCCTGCAGAACCTAGTCAGCCCCACCAGTTCAGTGCTGTCTGTTGCGGGCAAGGCCTACCCCATCAGCTTTCGAACCGTATGCAGAGAGTCTTGATGTTTGGGGTGGGAATTCTCAGTAAATTATCCTTGAATTGTGGTTCTGAGTGAAATCGAACAGGCCGGTGCCTCCGTGTATGCCAGCTTCCCGTCCCTTCTCTGCCTCCCTAGAGTTACCTCTCGGCCACCAGCTCCCGCGTTCCCCGGTACCTCAGCCATGACCATCCTCAACCTGCCGGCACCAGCGCCACACTCCGCCCTCCGCAGAAGTCCAGGCGCCAGTGCGCGGGAGGCCGAGGCCGTGTCCGTGCACCCGCTGCATTTTGGGTGAGGCAGAACGGTGACTGTCCCTGCAGCAGCAGTGCCACAGCGCACCCAGGGGGAGCCTCCTGCCTGTGCCTCCCGCAGAAGCCAGCGTCTCCTGGACGTGGTCCGGGCCGTGTGGATCGCTGCAGAGCCCGTGGGTGCTAGCTGGCTCAGCTTTCTGCCCCTGGCTAAAGCAGTTTGTCAGTCCTGCAACTGACAGTGAAGGGACCCAGCAGCTGAGGGGCCTGATATGCTTTTTGAACAAAGGTCCCCATATTTCTGTTTTGCACTGGGCCCTGAATATCATGTAGCTGGCCCTGTTTTCAAAATCTTTATTTACAGGTCAGATCGCTTCTCCGCGGTGCAGATCATATGTATGCCTGTCGGATGGACATCTTCCCTTGTGTACCTTTTATTTATTTATTTATTTATTTATTTATTTATTTTTCCGGTACCAGGAATCGAACTCACGACCTCACACTTGCCAGGCAGGTGCTGTGCCGCTGAGCTAAATCCCCAGCCCCTTGTGTACCTTTTAGACATTTCCAATTTAGCAGGTCCGGAACAACTTGGACCAAAATTGTTTCCCTAAATCAAAGGATGCTATAGGCTGGTCACATAAGCTAGAATCATTTTGACTCCTGCTTCTCTTTCTTGCCCCTCCGTATCAAATCACTTGTTGAATTCTGCTGTATCTACTTCCTGGCTATCTGAAACGCATCCTGCATTTGTTGTTTATTGCTCTACTGGATAACATTTTAGCAATGACCTAAAGGAAGTAGAAGATTAGTCCACGTAACTATCTGAGGGAACGGTTTTAAGGAGAAGGCAAAGTTCCTAGGAGAACTGGCAAAGAGGCTATGGTATTCAGACTGTCTCTAAATTTTATGGCTTACAAAAATAAGTATTATCTCGTACAGTTTTTGTGTGTGTGCCATTTTAGAAAGGTACTAGAATTAGTTGATTGTTCCCCATAATATAGAAGGAGATCATTTTATTGATTTTTTTTGTTTGTTTTTCTTCCGGTACCAGGAATCGAACTCACGACCTTGCGCTTGCCAGGCAAGTGCTTTGCTGCTGAGCTAAATTCCCAGCCCCAGAAGGAGATCATTTTAATGCAAAGGAATAAAAAGCTACAGAAGAGCAAGTATTGTGGTATTTGGCCAGTAGCAGTGTTGTGATAGGAGGAGATTTCTACAAGATGTTGTACATAGCATGCATCAATACTTTTCCCTTCCCTGATATTACTGGAAAGAGAATCTGAGGCATTAAGAGATCTACTAGAGCTTCATCTGTAGTCAGTGCTTTCTCCTCAGAGTTCCACTGGTCAAAGACACAGCATATCATACCACCTAACTCGAGTCGTAATGATGGACAGTAGATCTCTGGAACTTATTCTTTTGTAACTTCAATTCTGTGTGCTCAGTTCTCCAGCCTCTGTCTTCCTTTCTCTCTCTCACCGGGGGCAGTAGCCAGGCTTCTTTCTGCCCTGGCCCTGAGTGTCCTGGAGTGCCTGCAGAGCCGAGCCTTGTGGGCTGAATCCTGGAGAAACAAACTTCCCCACGAGCTGCCATCGGGAGCACTGTGCCCTGGGGCTCTCTTCTCAAAGCAGAGTCGTCGGGGAGGGTGGGGCTTTCCTCATTTCACACACATTTCCTCAAGGCATTTTTTCCTACTGGTAAATCCTTGTCTTCTTTTTAATGCTAACCTTTTCAGCAGCCAAGCTCCTCCTTGTGTGCAGGCCCCAACATCAGAGGAGCTTCCTTTCTGATAAAACTCAGCGATAGAAGTCCTTTAGCTGTGCCCTTTGCTCTAAGAACCTCGAGGTTCAGCGGGCTAGCAGCCCCCAACGGTAGCCACGCCAAGCCCTCAGCATGAGGCTGACTTGAAATGTGTTCCTTGAGATTTAATCAGCCACCTTTAATCTCAGTCTCCCTCGGTCTTAGGACAAGAGCAAAATGTAGACACACTTTCCACCAAAGCATAACACACATGGGCTGGAGTTCAACTGCAAATACAGTTGTTTTTTTTTTTTTGGTCTTTTTGAGACAGGGTCTTGCTATGCAGTTCAGGCTGGCCTTGAGCTCACTTTTTGTAGCCCAGGGTGGTCCTGAACTCGAAATGATCCTCTTGCCTCAGCCTCCTGAGTGCTGGGATTACAGGCCTGCACCACCATGCCCGGCTAAAATTTTGTTTTTTGTTTTTTTGGTACCAGAAATCAAACTCATGACCTCAGCCTTGCCAGGCAAGTACTTATGCCACTGAGCTACATCCCTGGCCTGCCAAAACAGTTCTTATTCCAACTGAAACCCAAGCCTGGTCTTTTCCAACTGCTTATTTATTTATTTAACTTACGTTTGAGACAGGGGTCTCAATATGTAGTTCAGGCAGGCCTTGATCTCACTACGTAACCTCGGCTTGTCTCAAACTTGCAGTAGTGCTCTAAGTGCTGGGATTACAGGTGTG